CACACTAAATCCTCCCTAATATTTGTTAAAAAAAATTATAAAATAGATTTTTTTTAACCTGGTAGGTAAATTAGTAGAGAAGGTCACATAGATATCTGTGTAATGCAGGTAAACATTTATGTTAGTAAAAATATTTCTACCATTTTTGTAGACACCACTTAAATAGCCAAACATACACGGGTGTATCTTATCATGGATGGGATCAAGACAGCAGTCTTTTGATTATGTTTGTCAGTATTTTTATTAAAAATTTAAACTGTTTGAAATATTGTGTATCTTTTTAGAATAATAAAAAAAAATAACAAGGAAAAGTAACTGTCGAAATAATTAACCCAATTGATTTTATCCAGGTAGTTAGTTTGAGAACTAAGTACATGGCCTTGGATATAATAGAGACAGAGCTGCTGCCATCTGACGTCATCAAGATAAAGTTCTATCGACCACCAAATTTGAAGTACCTTTCAGGCCAGTGGGTGAGGCTAGCCTGCAGTGTCTTTCCCTCCCAGGAGTTTCATTCGTTTACGCTGACTTCTGCGCCACACGAGAACTTTTTATCGTGCCACATCAAGGCACAGGGCCCATGGACCTGGAAGCTGCGCAATTACTTTGACCCTTGTAACTATAACCCAGAGATTGTGCGCCCCAAGATCCGAATTGAGGGACCGTTTGGTGGCGGTAATCAGGACTGGTACAAGTTTGAAGTAGCAGTCATGGTGGGGGGTGGAATCGGTGTCACGCCTTATGCATCTATGCTCAATGATCTCGTATTCGGTACTTCAACTAATCGGTACTCTGGTGTGGCTTGCAAAAAGGTATTTTTATCATTTTTTCATACCTTAACATCTTTAAAAAACTATTTTAGCTCATATCTGCAATTTCAATACTAATAGTAACTTGTTCAAATGGTGCAGCTTCGAATGATTTTGTAAGTTCTACTAATAGGAACAATGAAATAACTCTGAAAATCACTTATGTAACAAATAAAAAAATCTAGCTACATTAGAGCTTAAAAAAAAAGTGTTCAAACAGAATCTTATTCTTCTTCTCCGTAAAACGTAGGTAAATTACGCCAAACAAATTTAGTCCTAATAAGTAACAAATCAGATTTTGATTTATTGATGATGTTAAATGCCCCCAATGTAAAATCGTTTACCGTCTGTAACAGAATCTTAGCTTAGGCCCCCACCATAGATTTGATTTCATTTTCGATCTGACAGTTTTTTGCAGTACAGGCAACCGATGAATAATAGATAAGCAGCTGCACTGCGCATGTATATGCAAGAGAGAAAGGGACACAAAGAGTGAGTGCAGTGAACTGCAGAACTTGCATCTTGCAAGTGTGGTGCCGCTATCTGGTGCCAAAAAGTGCATAACTTCAGGAATTTTACAAACTCAGTACACCCCCAACGGAAAAAGTTAGTGTGAAAAAACGTAGCAAACTGTAACTTTCTGTGATGTAATGCACAGTTTGGTTAGATTTCGGACCACAGTTACAATTTGATACGTTTTGTTACGTTTGATTATAGTTAACTACAATCCAACACATTGTCTTACGATTCGTTACATTTTATTATAATTCTAAGAAGACACTTGAATCTCGTGAAAAAGCAACAGTAGTAAACTCTTATAAACTGTAAGGAAGTGTTGACATCTGTAATGTTTTATAACAGCTCACAGTTTTTTGCAGTTTATTACACTTTTTTGTATTTTATTATCATTGATAACTTTTAGACACATTTCCTTACATTTTTGAATAAAATTTGCCTTAAATAAAAAAAACTTGAGTAACTATTATTAAAAAGTATAAGTGTAACAGCATGTGGTAAATCATATTAAAACGTAAGAAAATGTAAGAAAATGTAACACAACATAATAAAGTGTAAGAAACGTCCAAAATCCATGAGACTATTACAGTTCCTTACATTTTCTTATATTTTCTTGTGGGTTATGGCATATTATTACACATGTTCATTTTTTCTAACATTTTGTTACGTTTTCAAATTTCCGCTGGGGACAATAGATGTCACATAATATAAGTTTACTTACTTATAAGGATGTTAAACATAAAATCTATAAAAATTATAATAACTGCTACCATCGCAGGGGTCACTAATACAAAATTTGGAAGCAAAACGTTACACCAATATTCATAGTAACGAAATGAACAGAACTTCAAAGCCAGTAACATAACCGTATTGTCGTAGTGTCAAGGCAGGAAAAACTGAATTATTTCGTAAAATACAGGTATGACATTAGTGACTATTAGTGATGATTCTGTTAAGTCACGTGGTCACGTTACCCTCGTTATTCCATTCGCTGTCATTAAATTATTGCACTACAAACTAACACTTATTTAACATCAAATAATTAGGAATAATTCCCCTATGATAAATCCCATAAGATCTACGGTTGACAACCGAAACATGATGAAACAGTGAAAGTAGTGTTGTTAACCATGCATTATGCTGGCATAAGTCCTAAAATAACGCATTTTCGCTTACCATAGGCTCTTCAATCGCTTTTTGCTATCTCCATCAACTATTTACACAAAGCAAATATACCATTGCAAGTAAAGTATATTCATGTATACAAAGGACCAATTGGCAAAATCGGCATTTAGGTTTTGGGAGGCTGGTACTTCCTCGGGCGAAAAAGCAGTTTTCCGGAACTCGTTCGAAAAGTCTCCTTTACGAACCTCGTTACGTCCCTCACCTTCGGCTCGGGCCGCAAACCTCTCGGTTCGCAAACAGAGACTTTTCAAACTCGTAGGAAAACTACTATTAAAAGATACTTTTTCACAGAATACTTTTAGGTTATGTATAGTCATTATAGCATGTAGAACGGTGGCTAAGTTAGGTTGATTTGTAGTCCCAAGGATGCCGTATTTGCAAATCACTGGACTTTGACGCAAAATTTTTGGACACAAGAAAATCGTCTCAGTTTAACAATAAGAAGAAATACTTTATTGAGAACATAAGTTTTATAAGTGAGTCGCTATATCCAGTCCTGGAATCCGAGTAAGTATACAATACTTATGCTTAACTCCAACTGATTGTTGACTCAAGAGAGCTGCTCATGCAGAATAAAATGTTTGTTATTCTCGTTGTATAGAAAGAGATCCATACACATATTCTAGAATTTCTTAAAAAAAATCTTTTTTAAAGAATATTAGAAACCAAGTATTCCAGAAAAGTGAGAGAACAAGATCTAATAATTAAGTAAGTCAAGGGCTATGCTTTTCATATATTTATTAATATAGACACGTGACGACGTTTCGACTGAATCATAGGTAGTCCTTTTTTAATCAAAGTTTGCTAAGAGTAACATCAAAGTCACTACTTTTTTTTTGACGTCACCTTCAGCAAACTTAAACTTGAAATAGACTACCTATTTTGTAGTCGAAATGTTGTCACCTATATAATAATAAATATTTGAGTAGCAAAGCCCTCGACTTACTTATTTGTTTGATCTTTCACAAAGAAGTTAGCTGATTTTCTGTGTTTAATTTATAACTCTTAAAATCTATTAACTTTATTCAATTTAACGGGAGTAAAAACTTCTTATAACTTACAGAGCAATAAATTTTATAAGGTTTGATAATCTGGAATTCCAACTCTTATATTGAAATAATAATCTTGGTAAAAATTAAAGCATTTTTGCTAGTCAACTGAGCTGTTCTCACCGAGTTTAGCTTGCTAGCTCTTACTGCCCTACTCGTAATTAGACGATAAGCTTGGTAACAACTGGGCAATATTTTAGTAGTAAATATGGATAGCATGACTTCACCTCACACTGCATGCTAAATCAACTTAAAAAAAACATTCTTGTAGTATTTACTCAGTCAAGAAAGCAATGGTAATTCTTAAAAGTTCATTAACATTTAGTAAACCAAACTACTAAAGTTGTGCACTCTGCTTGTTATTTCTAACTTCACCTACTGCAGTTGTAAATTAGTAGATTGGGGGAGAGAGTTAAACAGGTAGAGAGATTAGGTGAACAAAAGAGGACACCGTGCCTTGCCGAGTTTGTTCCCGAGAAAGAGATCCCAAATTAGAATACTTGTCTGTTTCTCTCTCTGAGGTTAACGCTGATTGGATACTCTCTCATTTTCTCTTTGGTTGGGAAAAAGTAGACTCAATGCCAAATGAAATGATGAACAATAAATATTAGATGTAAGAATAATAATTAAGTATTATTTTTTAACTTAAAATAAAATTTTTTGTAGTTTAATGTTATCTGGAGAATTTATGTCGGTACAACTACATAAATAATACAGCGGATAGTTTGTGAAAGGCAAATATTTTTAAGTAAGACTAACTTCTGAATCTTCTATAAATGTTGTAAGCTTATTATACAGCATTTTTACTTTATATTTTACATCGCCCAACTCATTTACTTCATGATTCAAGCGTTCATTGACTTAGTTTTGGATAATCAGACAAATAAATTGTTGACGATAATCGCTGAATGGCTCTTTATCAGAAGCGTGTTATTTGTTGTCCAAAATATAATGAGGTGGTTTTTTTTTTTGTTTGATAACAATACACTTTTATCTTGTCTGCTAATTTTTTTGTCGGTGAAAAATTATAATTACGTCCTCTGATGCCTACTTTAATCCTCCCTTATTTTTGAATTGTGTAAGTCCAATTTTTCATTAATAAGGCCATTTAAAATGTTTAGACAAACAGCGCAATGAATTTGAAAAAAATGTATAATACAACTTATACAGCAGTATGTTTAATAATATTATCAAAGTATTCAGTGGCTATAATGTTCAAGTTTAAATGTAAATATCTATGGCTACGTATAGGTGTTATCTAAGTTTTCTGTAGCTTGGCAGTCTACTTTCTTCCATCAGCCTCATTTTTCAGAAATTCAGCATTACCATGCTTTATATTGTATGCCTTTTCATCTACCTCACCTGGACTCCCACTGTCAGAATTATTTTCTTTAGATGTTATCAATGTTTTGTCTTGGGGTTGACAATTAGCAATCATCGAGACCATGACGTTAAAATTATTTAACAAGAGGTTTTTAAGGGCTGATTGAAATTGAATTGTTGTTAGATTAAGCGCAAAGCCATTCATGTACCTAATAAGTACAAACAATATTTCAACATAATTTTGCGATAACTTGTATAATATTATATATGAGAAAATATCAGCCTTTACTACTGCCTTACAAAGCGAATACAAATTTGCTTAATAAATTATAAATCCCAAAAGTCCACTTTATGTTGCTGAAAGCACAATGATTGTTTTGCACATCACTATAACTTCATAAGGCTGTATATTTTCATTTGATTCACATTTTTTTGGTATGACGGGTAAACTAACCCTTAAATTTTAAATATATTAAATAAAACTATCTATTTGACATTGAAAATTAATTAAATCTTTTTTTTTGTATTGCAACATGTCCAGCAACTTTGCTAAATTTATTTTTTGCATTTCGTAATTCTAACGTATCATAAAACTCGTTCCAAAATTTTGATGTTGCTAATGCATTTTGTAAATAAGAATCTTGGAAGTCAAATTTGAGGAAATAAAAAGCTGCTGACATCCTAAATCATAACGATTGTACTGCCAAGAATACTTTCATTTTTTCGTTTCAAAAGTTTACATGCCTATCACGTCATTTGCATGCACACTAAATTTCTTTCAGCTACTGTTTCTTACTTAACTTGAGAATATACGACCAATCAGTTTTTTTATTTCTTATATATGTCAGAAGACTGCTTGCAAGGTGATGGACTAATTTTATCGTGTTGCGAGTGTCCAAAAATGTTAACCAACGTTTTTCAGTAACAAAA